GAAGTTATATATGGGAGCTATATCCAAATCTGAACCAATCTCGATACAATTTAGCAAATGTATTTCTGATCTGTATTTGATATATTTCTCCAAATATTGTTGTTACAGAGTGCATATTAGGGCTGCGGAGGACAAAAGTAACAAATCGGATGAACAATATATATGAGAGCTATAGCTATATCTGAACAGATTTCGATCGAATTTGGCATACTTATTTTCAGCTCCAATCTGATCGTATGTGCCAAATTCCATAATATTCGGACTGATATTACACGTTTGGTGCACAATAAAAGGCATATCGGACGAAGATATATATGGGAGCTATATCTAAATTTTGACCGATTATCTCCAATTATCTCTCCTTGGGCCAAACAAATGATTTGTGCAAAAATCATCTGGATAGGGCAATAAATGCGAACTGTACTTTGTTTACAAAAATACATGGACAGACGGACGGACGGACATGCATAAATCGACTCAGAATCTGATTCTATGCAGATCATCAAAAGGAACTATGGGTCTATCTCGTTTCCTTTGTTACAAACAAATGCACAAAGTCATAATACCCTGACAACCTTGTGGTGTAGGGTATAAATAGTCTTAAAATGCGGGATGACACTTTTCGAAGCCCTTCAACTTATATCTTAGAAATCCACCATTATACCGCAGAGAGTACTTGAAAATGATTATTTTATTATTTTCGATTGAAGTTCTAGCAGTTCACGATTAGAGCTCTGACAAAAGAATTTGGGTGAGAATTTTCCAGAAAAAAAATTATTCGTGATGGAATCAAGCGTGATAGTGTGATTTTTTTATAGTTGGCTGGAAAACCACAAGTGGCTATCATTAGAGCACTACAGCATTTAAATGCGAATAAATCCTTTGCGTCTCGTACCATCGCTTGGTACCGTGATACTGGTAGCGTAGCCCGACGTCAAGGAAGTGAACGGAAGAAAACAGCAACATCAGCAGAAATGGTTCGAAAACTAAAGAAGAGTCTTGATCGAAACCCGCGTCGCAGTGGCCGAAAAATGGCTCGTGAGCTGAACATATCGCAATATTCCATTCGGCAAATATTGAAAAATGAGCTCGGGGTAAAGCCATTGAAATTCCAAGAAGAGCAAGAACTTACACCGCAACAGAAAGAAAATAGACTCAAAAGAGCTAAAGAGTTGCTTCGCGTGGCCGAAAGTGGTGAACTGCCGAATTTGGTTTTCTCCGATGAGAAAACATTCGTTGTCCAGCAGTTTGTAAACAAACAAAATGATCGTTTTTACTTGCCAAAGAGGTCCCAAAGCTCTTCGCCGGGAATGGACCAAAATACCGCAGAGCAATATTCGGGCAGGGTGTGACGGTTTTATTGGCCGTTCGAAGGGCATAATTTGTGCCAAAGGTGACCAATTCAAACAAATCTAAGCTTATTCTATAAATTGATGCTATTTCCGAATTAAATTAAAAATTTAAAAAATGTAAAAATTATTGCGTTTGACTTTTTTGCAGTTTTTTTATCTTACCCTGTATATTCATAAAAATCAAAGATTATTTAGATTTTCCCAATCGTCAGGATTAACCTTCTTGTAGAGCACCCACTACACCCACTACAAATTGTAAACAACTCTTTAATTTCAATTAACATCCATAGCCATGATTTTAATTGCTGCCTTATTTCTTGGTAATAAACGAGACCATGGACCAAGGATTCGCAACCATTAAATTTCTCATATCACCATTCATAATGACACCAAAGAACAAACAATTAAAAGGACTTAAAAAATTATTAAAGAACATTTTGTAAAAGTACAAAAATTGTCATTTATTACCATTGCCATTGTGAAGATGGTAGTTAACACTGACAATAGGAAAACTCACCATGACTTTTATTACCAACTGTTAATGGTGTGATGTGCCAGACGTCCTGGTCTTCAAACTAAAGATTGTTTTGAAATAAGCTGTGCTAGACATTTGTTGACCGTTATTGTTTTCTTGCAAAATCCACGAAACCAAGGCGGGGGTGGTGTCATTAAACTTTGCTGTTCTCATTATGGCTTTAATGAATTCAGTTATTTCGACGTTTTGACCTGTTCCTTCAAATTGCAACATAATTGCCACAATCCCAGTTAAGCTCTCGCCCCGACCACCACCACTCGCTAATGAAATCCGAACAAACCACAACCATTTAGATCACAGCATGTTATTGTTGTTGTTGGCTAATTAAATTTAGCCGGACCACCAATAGAAAAAAATAACAACAAAAGTTTAAATTTACTTTATCCTCGCGAACAATATTGTCTTGGGAAATGGCAAAACTGAGATTTTCCCGATGTTACCAACAAAACACCGAAATACATTAGTGCCATAATTTCATGGCAGTTAACCCTATTTGTGTGTTTTAGAATTTTCACAGTAAAACAATAACAACTACAGCAACAAATTGAGACTCTAACAGCCACCACTTGAAGAAGAAGAAGAAGGAAAAAATACAAAAACGGAAATTACGTTATCTTAATGAGTTTAAACGTTAATCAGTTTAGGCGAAAAATTGTTTGGACACCCCCACACACAACAAAAATATGTTACAAAAATTGGAAACTCTAGATTAGGAAAGAAATTTGGGAAAATATGGGGTTTAATGATGATGAATAAAAAATTATCTAATCTAAACCTATTTCCATGGGTGAGCCAGTGGCGGAACCTATTTCCATAGGTGAGCCAGTGGCGGAACCTATTTCCATAGGTGAGCCAGTGGCGGAACCTATTTCCATAGGTGAGCCAGTGGCGGAACCTATTACCATAGGTGAGCCAGTGGCGGAACCTATTTCAATGTGTGAGAAACTGGCGGAACATATTTCTACAAGTGAGCAATTGGCGAACCTATTTCCATAGGTGAGCCATTGGGGAACCTATTTCAATGTGGCGGAACCTATTTCTACAAGTGAGCAATTGGCGAACCTATTTCCATAGGTGAGCCATTGGGAAATCTAGTTCCATAGGTGAGCCATAGGGGAACAGATTTCAATAGGGGCGCAGTTGGGGAAAATATTTCAACCTTTTGTCACAGGTGAGCTTTTGGGGAATCTATTGCCATAGGTGAGCCATTGGGGATCCTATTACCACAGGTGAGCCATTGAGCAACCTATTGCCATACGTAAGCCACTGGCGGAAACTTATTCCAAAGATGAGCCATTCGGGAACCTATTTCCATAGGTGGCCAACCTATTCCCATAGGTGAGCCACTGGCGGAACCTACTGCCAAAGATGAGCCACTGGCTAACCTATTTCCATTATTTCCATAGGTGAGCCATTGGGGAACCTATTTCAGTGTGTGAGAAACTGGCGGAACCTATTTCTACAAGTGAGCAATTGGCGAACCTATTTCCATAAGTGAGCCATTGGGGAACCTATTTCCATAAGTGAGCCATTGGGGAACCTATTTCAATGTGTGAGAAACTGGCGGAACCTATTTCTACAAGTGAGCAATTGGCGAACTTATTTCCATAGGTGAGCCATTGGGGAACCTATTTCAATGTGTGAGCCATTGGGGAACCTATTTCAATGTGTGAGAAACTGGCGGAACCTATTTCTACAAGTCAGCAATTGGCGAACCTATTTCCATAAGTGAGCCATTGGCGGAACCTATTTCCATAGGTGAGCCATTGGCGGAACCTATTTCCATAGGTGAGCCAGTGGCGGAACCTATTTCAATGTGTGAGCTACTGGCGGAACCTTTTTCAATGTGTGAGCTACTGGCGGAACCTTTTCTATAGGTGTGTCACTGGTGAAACCTATTTCCATAGGTGAGCCAGTGGCGGAACCTATTTCTATAGGTGAGCCAGTGGCGGAACCTATTTCTATAGGTGAGCCAGTGGCGGAACCTATTTCCATAGGTGAGCCAGTGGAGGAACCTATTTCCATAGGTGAGCCAGTGGCGGAACCTATTTCCATAGGTGAGCCTGTGGCGGAACCTATTTCCATAGGTGAGGCAGTGGCGGAACCTATTTCCATAGGTGAGCCAGTGGCGGAACCTATTTCCATAGGTGAGCCAGTGGCGGAACCTATTTCCATAGGTGAGCCAGTGGCGGAACCTATTTCCATAGGTGAGCCTGTGGCGGAACCTATTACCATAGGTGAGCCAGTGGCGGAACCTATTACCATAGGTGAGCCAGTGGCGGAACCTATTACCATAGGTGAGCCAGTGGCGGAACCTATTACCATAGGTGAGCCAGTGGCGGAACCTATTTCAATGTGTGAGAAACTGGCGGAACCTATTTCTACAAGTGAGCAATTGGCGAACCTATTTCCATAGGTGAGCCATTGGGGAACCTATTTCAATGTGTGAGAAACTGGCGGAACCTATTTCTACAAGTCAGCAATTGGCGAACCTATTTCCATAAGTGAGCCATTGGGGAACCTATTTCCATAAGTGAGCCATTGGGGAACCTATTTCAATGTGTGAGAAACTGGCGGAACCTATTTCTACAAGTGAGCAATTGGCGAACCTATTTCCATAGGTGAGCCATTGGGGAACCTATTTCAATGTGTGAGAAACTGGCGGAACCTATTTCTACAAGTCAGCAATTGGCGAACCTATTTCCATAAGTGAGCCATTGGGGAACCTATTTCCATAAGTGAGCCATTGGGGAACCTATTTCAATGTGTGAGAAACTGGCGGAACCTATTTCTACAAGTGAGCAATTGGCGAACCTATTTCCATAGGTGAGCCATTGGGGAACCTATTTCAGTGTGTGAGAAACTGGCGGAACCTATTTCTACAAGTGAGCAATTGGCGAACCTATTTCCATAAGTGAGCCATTGGGGAACCTATTTCCATAAGTGAGCCATTGGGGAACCTATTTCAATGTGTGAGAAACTGGCGGAACCTATTTCTACAAGTGAGCAATTGGCGAACTTATTTCCATAGGTGAGCCATTGGGGAACCTATTTCAATGTGTGAGCCATTGGGGAACCTATTTCAATGTGTGAGAAACTGGCGGAACCTATTTCTACAAGTCAGCAATTGGCGAACCTATTTCCATAAGTGAGCCATTGGCGGAACCTATTTCCATAGGTGAGCCATTGGCGGAACCTATTTCCATAGGTGAGCCAGTGGCGGAACCTATTTCAATGTGTGAGCTACTGGCGGAACCTTTTTCAATGTGTGAGCTACTGGCGGAACCTTTTTCTATAGGTGTGTCACTGGTGAAACCTATTTCCATAGGTGAGCCAGTGGCGGAACCTATTTCTATAGGTGAGCCAGTAGCGGAACCTATTTCAATAGGTGAGCCAGTGGCGGAACCTATTTCCATAGGTGAGCCAGTGGAGGAACCTATTTCCATAGGTGAGCCAGTGGCGGAACCTATTTCCATAGGTGAGCCTGTGGCGGAACCTATTTCCATAGGTGAGCCAGTGGCGGAACCTATTTCCATAGGTGAGCCAGTGGCGGAACCTATTTCCATAGGTGAGCCAGTGGCGGAACCTATTTCCATAGGTGAGCCAGTGGCGGAACCTATTTCCATAGGTGAGCCTGTGGCGGAACCTATTACCATAGGTGAGCCAGTGGCGGAACCTATTACCATAGGTGAGCCAGTGGCGGAACCTATTACCATAGGTGAGCCAGTGGCGGAACCTATTACCATAGGTGAGCCAGTGGCGGAACCTATTTCAATGTGTGAGAAACTGGCGGAACCTATTTCTACAAGTGAGCAATTGGCGAACCTATTTCCATAGGTGAGCCATTGGGGAACCTATTTCAATGTGTGAGAAACTGGCGGAACCTATTTCTACAAGTCAGCAATTGGCGAACCTATTTCCATAAGTGAGCCATTGGGGAACCTATTTCCATAAGTGAGCCATTGGGGAACCTATTTCAATGTGTGAGAAACTGGCGGAACCTATTTCTACAAGTGAGCAATTGGCGAACCTATTTCCATAGGTGAGCCATTGGGGAACCTATTTCAATGTGTGAGAAACTGGCGGAACCTATTTCTACAAGTCAGCAATTGGCGAACCTATTTCCATAAGTGAGCCATTGGGGAACCTATTTCCATAAGTGAGCCATTGGGGAACCTATTTCAATGTGTGAGAAACTGGCGGAACCTATTTCTACAAGTGAGCAATTGGCGAACCTATTTCCATAGGTGAGCCATTGGGGAACCTATTTCAATGTGTGAGAAACTGGCGGAACCTATTTCTACAAGTCAGCAATTGGCGAACCTATTTCCATAGGTGAGCCATTGGCGGAACCTATTTCCATAGGTGAGCCATTGGCGGAACCTATTTCCATAGGTGAGCCATTGGCGGAACCTATTTCCACAGGTGAGCCAGTGGCGGAACCTATTTCAATGTGTGAGCTACTGGCGGAACCTTTTTCTATAGGTGTGTCACTGGTGAAACCTATTTCCATAGGTGAGCCAGTGGCGGAACCTATTTTTATAGGTGAGCCAGTGGCGGAACCTATTTCTATAGGTGAGCCATTGGCGAACCTATTTCCATAGGTGAGCCATTGGCGGAACCAATTTCCATAGGTGAGCCATTGGCGGAACCTATTTCCATAGGTGAGACATTGGCGGTACCTATTTCCATGATGAGCCATTGGCGCAACCTATTTCCATAGGTGAGCTATTGGCGGAACTTATTTCCATAGGTGAACTTAGCGTAGCATAGCGGAACTTATTGCCATAGATGAGCCACTGGCGGAACCTATTGCCATAGATGAGTCACTGGCCAGCCTATTCCCATCGGTGAGCCACTGGCCAACCTTTTGTCATAGGTGAGTCATTGGGAAACCTGTTTCTATTATTTCCATAGGTGAGCCACCGTTGAACCTATTTCATAGGTGAGCCACTGGGGGAACCTATTTCCATAGCTGTTTCACTGGCTAATCTATCCACTGCGAACCTATTTCAATAGGTTTCCAGTTATTTAAATAACTTATAATTCCCCCTCGTGAAAATGTTGCAACAGTTTTGCCATTAGGAAGAACATAATTATTGTCCTTGCCTCCGCTGATAACAACAGCGAAGTGAAATGTTAAAAAAAAATAAAATATAATTTTTCGAGCATATCTTGGGATTGCCTTTTCTAGTCTAATAATTTTTTTTTCAAGTTGGACAGTCAATTTCCGACTGTGGTAGATGTTGTTCCCGATGCTGCTGCTGTTGTTGCTCAACTAACTTTTGGCCATAAACTTTTCCCCATTTTTTCGCATAGCTCTAAAACGTCTGGCTAACAATCGTGCTTTCAAATTAGCCGGCGAACAAAAAAAAAATGAAATACCGAAAAGAATAACAACAAACCCAGGCAAAGTAATTACGTATTTCATTCCCATTAACGCTAGGAGTGAAGGATAGGAAGTACTGCAGGGTGAGAGGGAAGAAGTACTTGCAAAGCGGAAGTAAACTACCGGATACATATTAAATTAATAATTTTTGCAACAGTAGCAACAAAAAACGGTCCATCTCATTTTCGGGGGTTGGATCGAAAGATATGTTGTTAACTTTTCCCTGTGGGTTTGAAGAGTTGCAGTTTTTTTTTTTTTTTGCCGATAGTTTGGCCAAAAGTTAAGTGCGTCTGGACATTGTGGACCAAATGAAAGTTGCAATTTTTATACCCTACACCACAAGATGGTCAGGGTATTATGTCTTTGTGCATTTGTTTGTAACAGGCAGAAGGAAACGAGATAGACCCATAGTTCCTTTTGATGGTCTGCACAGAATTACATTCTGAGTCGATTTATGCATGTCCGTCCGTCCGTCCGTCCGTCCGTCCGTCCGTCTGTCCGTCCGTCTGTCCATGTATTTTTGTAAACAAAGTACAGGTCGCATTTATTGCCCGATCCAGATGAAATTTTGCAAAGATCTTTTGTTTGGCCCAAGGACGAACCCTATTGAAATTGGAGATAATCGGTCAAAATTTAGATATAGCTTCCATATATATCTTCATCCGATTTGCATTTTATTGTGCACCAAACGTGTAATATCAGCCCGAATTGTATGGAATTTTGCATATACACCCAAATCAGGCCTGAAAATATGTGTGCCAAATTTGATCGAAATCGGTTCAGATATAGCTATAGCTCCCATATATATTTTTCATCCGATTTGTTATTTTTGTCCACCGCCGCCGTAATATGCACTCTGTAACAACAATATTTGGGGAAATATATCAAATGCAGCTCAGAAATACCTTTGCTAAATTTTATCGAGATCGGTTCAGATTTGGATATAGCTCCCACATATATCACTTCGTCCGATTTACCATTTATTGTGCACCAAACGTCTAATATTTGTCCAAATGGGATGGAATTTGGCACTTACGACCGAATTGAGTCTAGAAGCTAGTATGTCAAATTTAGTGAAGATCGGTTCAGATATAGCTATAGCTTCCATATATATTATTCATCCGATTTGTTATATTTGTTACCCACAACCGTAATATGCACTCCTTAACAACGATATTCAGGGAAATATATCAAATACATGATATATCAATGCATGAATTCTCCCATAAAAACTTTTAATTGTTATGTGGAGCTCTACTTAATTAGCAAAGTGGTGTAGGGTATCATAAAGTCGGCCCGCCCGACTTGAAGACTTTCTTTACTGGTTTTTTTTTGTTGTTGACTGTGTATTGAGTAATGAGTTAACTGTTTTTTAGTTTTTGAACTGTTCAATGGTTAATGAGATTGGTATTGAGAAAATTTTGAGAGACAGGCAATTAATTACCTGAAATCTCAGTGGGATACAGAAACAGTCAATTAGGATTTGTAAAGGAAATGTTAGAGACATTTTGTGTTGAGTTGTTAGAATAAGTAAAAAATGAAGCTGGTTTAAACTAACTTTGAAATGAAGTTAATGAATTTTCCTTTCTTGTGTTTAGAAGAAAAATCGAAATTATTTTGATTCCCATTCAATCCCGTGATAGCTAAGAAGATAAAAGTAGTTTGAATGAGTGAAGTAAGTCTAATTAGGATTACTGTTATGGCATTTTCCTATACAATTTCAAATGAAGTTTAATAAAATTTCACACATTCTTAAGACGGCATTCGTTTTAGGAGTTATCGGATCCTTAATGGTTTTCAAATACATGTTGATAGAACATCGTTATAATATTCAGACGTATGGCCTCGTAAGAGACCTTGTCTTGGGAAAGCTACATTAGATTCCGTAAGTTAAAAGTTTTCCCATAATTAAAAAAAAAAAAAACAATTTTACCTTACAATGTAATGAGTAATGGCTCATTAATGCGTGAATGTCATCCTGTGCAGAACCGTGCGACAAAGTTATTTTGTTTATACTTTTTTTATATATTTTTTATAGTTTGATGGGAACAAAAATTATGTAACACCTCAAAATATTGATTTGCCGGTATACATGGATCTTCCTATCTCGCCGAACTGAGCCGATCTAGCTATGTATGTCCGTCTATCCATGTTAATTTGTAATCAAGCTACAGGTCGCAATTATGGCCCGATTCTGACGAAATTGAAAATGGAGGTGGGGTTAGGGTCAGAATAGAAGCCTATTGTTTATGGAGATGATCGCAAAATATTAAAGGATTGAAATGGACCAAAAACAGAAAAAAAATCTTGATTTTTCTGTTGCTCTATAGGTCATAATTATAGACCAATCGACGCGGAATCTAGCATGGAGTTAGAGTTTATGGCTGGGCAGAAGCCTACCAATTTGTTAAGGGACAATATTTAAGGGATAAAATATACCATAGCATTTATTAAAAAAATACGAACATTTCGGCTAAACAGCGAATATTTTTAATCCCGACGAAGTCGCAAATACCTTAAAAGGTTACATCTGACCATTACAGTTATGCTGATAGCCAATTTATCGGATATGTAGCGAAATAGGTACAATTTATATGCAAATGGAATTGATGTTAGTTATTCCGCTTATAAGTCAAGAAACGCTGGAGAGATTTTGACAATTTTCACCAATTTTTAATTTTTTTTTGCCAAAAAAGGGCTAAACCTAAGAAAATGGCGTAAAAATCTGCCTACAAAAAAGTAAATATATTTTGTTAAGTTTTCTCAATTTTTGTCTTGCGATTTTCTAAATTTGACTTACAATTTTGAATGGTAATTTTCTAACATTATTTTTTGAGGTTATTATATACATGTCGCAATTATCGTCCGATTCTCACGAAATTTTGGATGGGGTAGGGTTAGGGTCAGAATTAAATTGCAGATGTATATGGACCAAAAAATTGGCATGTTCCTGATTTTGTAGTCGCTCTACAGGTTCCAATTGAAAACCAATCGACAGGGAATTTTGCATGAGGAGAGAGTTAATGACAGGGAAGAAGTCTAAAGTTTTGGATGACCATTGGATTATATTAAACTGTAAAATGGATCACAACAACTAACAGCACAACGGAGTTCGTAAATATTGGTCAAATGTCCCTGGTCAATATCCTAAGGGTAAAATCTGGGCAGTGCTCTGTAACATAATTTCAAAAGCAACATTATCCACAATGGATTTTGGCATAAGGGGGCTTCCAACATATTGTAGTGTTGTAGGGTATCACATGGTCGGCCCCGCACGTCTGTAGTCTTTGCTTACTTTTTATATAATTATGGGGAAATCCAGCAGACTATGAAATACAAGCTAAAAAAATACACGTGAATCGACGCCTTAAAAGTTTATATCGAAAAGTAAACAAAATAGAGGGAACAAGTTTCCCCCTCTTCCAAACTTCCGGAAATTTTCGGATTAAGATTCCTCAGCATACATGCATTTTAGGTATATAGTGTCTTCGGCAATATTGCAGCTTAAAATATGGGGAATCAAAAAACTACAACCAATTTCAAACTGCTGTTATTTCTAAGGCACTCGTCCGAAGGTGACCAATTCGAACAAATCTAAACTTATTCTAAAATTTGATGCTATTTCCGACATTTTTTGCTTTCACTCAATAAAATTAAAAAAATAACAATTATGGCGTTTGACTTTGTTGCAGTTTTTTTTATCTCCCCCTGTATTTACTATCGGCATCATCGTAACGGTCAGAATTGACCTTTTCGTCTATTTTCGATTTCGCCTGGATTACAAATATACGCGGTTTAATGAAAAATTTGACTTTTATTTAACACAAATGTTATGGTATATTTCACCCACTAAATATTACTCCATGACCATCCCAATTGAAAGACTTCTGCATAGCCCCAAGCTCTAGCCCCTTCCTAACTTTTGGTCTATAATTGCGACCTGTAAAGCAACTGCAAAATTAGGAAAATTTTCAGTTTTTGGTCCATTTCAACCCCTAAATATTATCCGATCATGTCCAAAAGCAATAGGCCTCTATTCTTACCCAAACCCCACCTGCATTTTTAATTTTGTGAGGATCAGACCATTATTGCGATCTATTGCGTGATTACAAATTAACACAGACAGACGGACATACATAGCTAGATCGACTCAGCTCGGTGAGATAGGAAGATCCATTTATACTTTCCTATGTGGGAGACCAATATTTCAAGGTGTTACATAATTTTTGGCCCAATCAAACTTATAATACCCCCAACACATAGTGTTGTAGGGTATAAAAACCACAAAAATTCCTGATTTGTT